TTAATTAGGGATTTGATTGGGATTTGATTAGGATTAGATTAGGAAGCTTTTTTTTCTAATTTACTTTGGCTTAAATTTATAAATAGAGCTCTGGTGCTGCTGTTGAGTGCATGAGAAAAAGAGACAATTACTTGAGAGCCTATATTGTAATTCATATTATTCTCCAAATTAGTGAAATAATCATCCCCACCCCGTAGACATAGGCATCTTCATTAAATCACGTAAATAGCTGTGTTTAGTTTGTTTGTGTTGTGTGAATTTTATTTCCGTTGCCATTATTTGCAAAGTAGGGCGGCCTTTTATAATACACTAAGATTGTAAAATACAAGAATATAACAACCCCTAATAGAGAGATTATAGAAAATAAGAGGGAAATGGCATTATACTATGGAGTTAAAATAGAGCAAATGTGTGTTTGGTCCCTCCAATTGTCTACTACGTGGAGTTGAACACAATAAGGCCTACAAGTAGAGTTGTGGCCCAAAACACATATCCTAGTTGTTGCTCAATGCGAATTTTGAATTATACTAATTTTAAAGTAAATTCTTTGATTTAAATCACATCTTGATAAAAAAAAAATTAGTGAAAATAATCTAAACTAATTGGTTTTCAATCGCTTATGGTCAAGCATTAGGGGTGTAAATACCTAACATGATCCGAAATCCTACTCAGAAAATTCTGGGTTCGGTTCAACTTATATGCCAAATGAGTCGGGTTCAGGTTTAAGACTCGTTTTTGAAATCGGATTGGGTCAGAGGTTACCAGAAAACCTGAAGGTGGTCCGAATGCAATTTGGGTGGGTGACGGCTGGCTCATTCTCTTCTCAGTTCCACACCTAAACCCGGCCAACACAGCAAACAGACTCGCACTGCACCCAACACGCACGCTCGCACTCACACCCAACAACGCTCCGCTCACCCCCTGCAGTGCTATATGTTGCACTTGCATTTGCATCCGACAACAGCACTCGCACCTCGCACTCGTTCTCTCGTTGTGCATTCTACCTCCTATCTTACCCGACACTTTGAAGGGTGAGCCTTCGCTTTTTGGATCGTCTTCTACCCAATGCGGTACCTCCCGTTTTTTTTGTTCCCATCCCATTGGGTTTACCTTGTTCACAGGTTGACCCCATGCCAGCAAGAAATGGCGATCTTGTGCTATACTCCGGTGATCTCTTACCTACCGAGGCACGCTAACTCCCATCGTGCGTCTTTTCTTTGCTTGCGCGTGTCACACACCCAATACCCGAACTCGCCTAGTCGCCCCCGCCCTTGCTGGCTTGTTGCCCTGCTTGGAACTCGAGTTAGCAGGTCAGATTGGGTCAACCCGATAACCCAGAGGGTCATATCTAAATTCGTGACCCGTTTGCCTAATCAGTTTTGGTTCAAATTGGATTAGTGGAACACAGGTAAGTCTCGGGTTGGATCCAAACCCGACCCGAAAATATATTTTGACACCCCTACCAAACGCATCATGAGCAGTTCTAATCATGAACCTATATTACTTGATTTCTCAATTCAAAAATTTATAATTTTATCATCTATATCTAAAAAAATCACATAATAATTTCAAATAAAACTTCTCTACTAATTTCATAACCTAATTTATAATAGCTGCAGCCGCATGCATGTACCAAAATACCAAATGCCTCGTCAAAATCGGAGACCGTTTGGTAACTCAAATTGCGGTTTGAACCTTCCAACAGCGCTTTGAACCCTTGATTCAGACTCATTTGGGCTCGGATTGGGTTGATCTTGGAATCGTTGGGTTCGTATTTTCGAGACGCTCAGTTTGACTATAAGCTCGCTGAAATCGGAGTTCATATGCTCCCAAAATTAATTTTTGAAGTTTCCGAACTGAGTTTGCCTCGAGATTCGTGCCCAATCAAGATAATTTTGTGATGACGTATCACTCCCAAATGCTCAACCATTTTACAAATTTCCTAAAATTACTTAAACATAGCCTTAATATTACTCTAATTATTGGAATAATCCTAAATCATTAATGCGTGATTATTAGTTAATCCGAGTTTCAATAATTTGGTATTTGCAAACTTATCGCAGAAGAAAGCATTGATTTGTGCCGAGATAATCATTCAAACATAAAATTCCTTTAGTTGTTAGAGTAAACCGTAAGTCGCTGGAATTTTTTATATTCATTATAAACTTGCTCCATATCATTCTAGAATTTGTAAGGCACAAGTTAAAACACCTGTAAGCCACACTTTTATAAGAATGATTGTTCGCACACTTAGGGAGCAGATAGAGAGAATGATGAGAGATTGACTTTGGTGTTATTTGAATATAAAGCGAGGCGAAATTATTCGCGGACACCGGATGTCATTCAGATGTGAATCACGTCATTTTTTTGCAATGTACTGCTGTGTGTACCGCGTGACACAGGGCATCGTGATTCACCTCCGAACAGTCAGGTGATTACAAAGAATAATTTCCCCACGTAAGGTCAACTCTAATTGAAAAACTCGCATTTTCCACTCCATAACACTCTAAAATGCTCTAACTCATCTTCAACCGATCTCTATTTCTTAACACAAGAAAAGAATATTGTGTATATTCTTTCTCATATTTTTATATTTATTTTTATTCATAACTTTATATTTACCAAAATTTCAAATTAGGCTAGCTTAATTTTTTTTAAAAAAAAAAAATCTTACTAAGATAAGTATTTATTAAATAAAATAAAAATTACATTAGAATTATAAATAAAAAATATTTTAAATAATTAAAATGAATAACCTAATGTAAAAAAAAATTAATTATATAGAAATTATATATTTATAAATTATTAATAATAAAAACATACACTTAATAACCTATAATTTTTAACTTAATTTTTTGAATAAAAAATTTGGCGTTGGTGAACAGTGCGACGTCAATGTTGGCGTCACACTGTTCACCTCCTGAATTTGACGTGTGATTTATCGTTCAAGCATAGAGAATGACGGACGACAAACCTGTTTAAACTAGTTTAAACAATTCGGTTGAAGATGATCTAAACCAATAATCTAAATTATAACAGAGAGTAAGACTTCGTTTGAGATGGCTTTCTTATTGCTTCTTCAAGCTGCTTTCTAGTACAAAAATTAAAAATTTTTTACTAGAAAACTGCTTTAAGAAGCGGCAATCAAATCTCTTGTATGCAGTGAGAGCGTAGTCTCTGTGATGGTGCAGATCATGAGTTTCTGTGGGATTTTAACGTTGTTTTGTGATGTTAGGGTTGGCTAATGATGGATTTAATGTTATTAATTAAATATTAAGATATTGGAACAAAAATATGATAGTTTGTGTGTAATTAGCTTATACATGTAAATAGATAAAACTGGCATGACAAGCAAATTAGCACAAAGTCCCCCGAAATTTTAATTAATTACATACAAGTATACAACTGAATTATCAGATAAAATTTTAAATAATTACATGCAAATAGATACAACTGAATTATCCGATAAAATTTTAAATAATTATACTCATATGTGCAAAATGACTAGAACAATAATATATATAATAAAAGTTACTAGATGAAATTGCTTGGATATTTAGATATATCAATTAAATACGATAATCTTCACAAATAATAAGATTCTTAAAAATCAAAGTAGGGTAATTGTAACATAAGTATTGCCACATAAATTTTCTAACTGGCATGACAGACAAATTAGCACAAAGAACCCCAAAACAGACTTTCTGTCTCCTCTTTCTTCTTTTCCTACTTCCTCTCCTATATAGCAATCAACAACCAAGACTAAAATGGCATCCTTTAAGTAGATTTGGATATTTATATAAAATATTTTTTAAAACGCCGAAGCGCTAAGGCTTTGGAGCCACGATGCCCCCAAGGGATGAATTCTATCCTAAAACATAGAGATGAGCATTGCAACACCAATATGATGGTACCGCGGCGGTTCCAAGGGATACTCTCTACTTGTCAAATTTATGAAAATAGAGAGAATAGCGTCGCAACACCAACATGACAGCATTGCATCACCCCTAAAGAGACACTCTCCACTTATCAAACGTTTCTCTCCATGATTTTTTTGACTAAATTAGGCATAAAAATAGCTCTAAAAATCTACATAAATTTAGTAAATGCAAAATAGCCTGCAAGTCTAACCTAATTCAAATCATGTCATTACATGTAGTTCAATTGTTACAGAAGCAATCATTATATTAGAAGATATGATAAAAAATTTACTTAACAGGATTGTATCTACAAATTTTACATAACTACTATTGCTCAACTACTTTAACGCTAGCCGTTGCCACCAATGTTGATACTTGTCATCATCAATAAGATTGATGCACACAATTGACACCAACTCTGACTCTCGGTGTCAACACCAATACTACATTTGGCTTTTTTTATCTTGACATTCTGTCCTTAAATAGGTTATACACAATCTCTCGTTGATAATATAATGCTTTAAAGCTTATGCAACTTTCATCGTGAAATTTGTTATCTATAATTTATGTCCGTTATATTGCACAATATATCCCCCCATTTTTGAGGACTAAAACCATCTATAAATGATGTTAAACGTCGCTAAAATAATTTCAACTAGGTCAAACATTGTGATTTTTTTTCTTTTTCAATTTTTCCTGTGAGATCTTTGATATACTTTTTCAATTTATTTATTTAATGTGTTGAAAATTCATACGATCGTAAGATATTAATTTTTTTTATTGCTATAAATTTTTTTATCACACAATAATATTTATATATTTATTTTGAAATTTTATAAAATTAAAATTCTAACATATTTAATTATAGATTAATATGTACCACATTGAATTAGTAATTATAAAAAAGGTTGGCGATAATGATTGTGATGGGTGGGAAGTTGTGGGTGGTGATAAGTGAAACTTAAAAAATTAAGTGAATTTAAAATATATTGAAAATAGATTAAATTAAAAATTATGAATACATAAAAAATTAATAATGCTTAAAATTTTAAAACCCTTATATTTAATTTACTCGCAGCCACATAGATAAGGGGATTGATCGTAGACTACTGGGCCGCGGGAGAATGTGAACTGCGCGCTTTGTAGTCGGAACGAGCTGCATAGAAGGAGCGGGAAGTGGAAAGCAAGCGAGAAGGACGAAGATGCCGATCCCTCGACCAGATCTTCAAGGAGACCGAGTAATTGCTCACGTCGACATGGATTGTTTCTATGTCCAAGGTCTCCCGTCAATTAATTTATTTTTATTTTCTAAAGAGTTTTTTCTTAATTATGTTTTTTGTGCCCTATAAGTGATTCCTTGTCCTTAACCTGCATTTTCAAACTATAGCCGGAGAGTTGACCGAATTACATGCGTAAAACTTGTCTTTTTCAGTATTTATGAGCAGGAGCTTTCATTTTTGTTCTTTTATGAATCTTTTCTAGGGTTTTTTTGGATGATATTCTCTGCTTAGCAGTTAGCAGATGGTTCTGGTTGCTAGCTCTATATGGTTTGAATTACTTATATTTAGGTGCGTGCTCACTGTACAAGATGCAGTTTTTCTCATTGATTAGTTTGATGCTTTAAAATTCAGTAGTAGTCTAAATTTCTGCGGTCACAGGATTAGAAATTTGTTTTGCTTGGTAAATAAATTTTAGCTTTAAAATATTTCTTGTAAGTGATTTTAAAGCTTTTGGAGAAGGCCATTGCATTATAATATCGCAACAAGATTCTGCATTAATATGCTTATACCTTGTCATAGATTTGGTTCATTGGTTATAGCCAGCTTTTACATGCAGAATATGCAAGTTGCTGCAATGTAAATGTTCTGTCATTAACCAGTCTGCTACGTTGTTTGGACAATGTATACTACTTTTTTTGTCTAGTTGAACCATATTGGATGGCTTGGATATTCCATGGTGTTGATCAAATTGATGAGCGGTCTTGATCAAATCTAATTTGTGGAGTCTACATTTAGTCAAGTGTGACATGGAAGATAGGGGATGCTCAAGTCCTTATTGGCACTACATAGATTGTTACGGGTTTGATGCTAAGACATGCGGGAATATGGGATTTACAACCACATCGATCAATTGAAAATATTTAAATATATCTTGGTTGAAATATCAAGTGAGTGACCCTCACTCATTGGTTGAGCTTTTGGATTTAAATAAGCTTGACTATTGGATTTTCATGCCGAAATTCTTTTTCCCTTTGTTTCATTCCTTAACAAGTGGTATTAGAGCTGCTGTTTTGACAAGAATCAAGTGATTCATGCAGTTTGCAGCTTCTACGGGTCTGAATGCTTTCCACCATGGTTAAGCTAAGTTTAGGAATGTGAGTTCATTACGATGAATCCATATGATTGAACAAGCTTTTGATGTGTAATACCTTTTGAATTCTGTTAGACCGGTCCACTGGACCGGTCCAGCCGGTCCAGGCGGGACCGGTTCAGTGGCGGAATCGCAGAACAGGCGGAGATTTCCACCAGAACGAGCGGCCGACCGCTCATATAGAGCGTTTTAGGAAGGCCTGACCTGCCGCTCAGCTCCCGTGATCCCAGCTCTGCGAAGCAATACCGCTCTGTCTCCGCCTTCAGATCTACCGACTGCTCTTCCTCACTCCAGTTCAATATTGCTCTCGTACCCACGGATCGAGCAGAAAAACCGCTCAACGTCGATTTCAACTCCACCGACGATCCCGCTCTGTTATACGATGCCGATGATGGGGAAGAAGACGCCCTCGCGGCCGCAACTTGGATACTTCCCGCTCTGGCGAAGGATCCGATGATGATGAAATCAAACGACTACTTCTCTGATGTAGATCCGTATCTGGATCTGGAATACGCTTCGTCGGTGGAAGCCGGGATTTACCACTTGGACAGCGTCGTGCCAGCTGGCGGCGGAGCTTTTCCAGGCTTCATTATGCTTGATTTCGCTAAATCCAAGCATACGCATAGCTACACCGTCAGCCACAGCATGTCATCATCTGAGGTCGCGGTGGTATCAGATGGCGGTGGCAGCGCGATGGCGGACACGTCGACTTGCATCGACGGAAACGGTGGGGAGTTGAAACCTGCTGCAATGCCACCGACCAGTGTGATGACCAGGCACGGTGAGATATTCAAAACGCACCTTCTTGGCTACCCCGCGCTATGCTGGCAAGCCCCGAAGCCGCCCATTTCGTCCTCGTCCCCCATTCCGACCTTTTCAAACCAACCTACCCGCGCAGCAAGGAAAGCTTAATCGGTCCCTCAGCTCTCTTCTTCCACCACGGCTCCTACCACACCAACCTCCGCAAGCTCGTCCGCGCCTCCCTTTCGCCTTTGTCCGTTCGCCGCCTAATCCCCGCCATCGACGACGCCTCCTCCTCCTCCCTCTATTCCTGGAACGGCCAGACATCATTGCAGCAGGTGAAGAATATAGTGTTGTTGACTGTGATGACCAGGTGTGAGATTGAGATGCCAGACATCATTGCCCGATCTATATCGATACTCTCTGATGCAGGGCGTGAAGAAGATAGTGTTGTTTTCATATCCAGAAGCGGAAGCTCCATCATAGGCATTAGCTCGCCATACCCGCTTCAATGTGTTAATGATAAAGATGAACACAATGATATTTTCATATCAGAGGCTTCCCTTCTCTCGGTATGTCATGATCTTCTTGCCTTTAGTATCTCTGAAATAAAAATAAATGATGTGGAGGTGTATGGCATTGCTACTGGATGTGGTACTCGGAGCATTGTTACTACAGGTGAGAAAATTTTTGGTCTGAATTTGATCGACAAAGCCAGTCTAATGCAATGCCCCCAAGCTGTTCGACGAAATGTCACTAAAGCATACAACGTTTTGCTAGATGCATTTGCAATTTCTGGAATATTGCAGGAAGATGAAACTGTTGTTAAGAGCATGAGAAGGGACAAAGGAACTACTGTGAGGGTGGAGTATGGTGATGGAACAACCACTGCAGATCCTAACTGTGGAGGAGTTATAGGTAATTATTTTCAGCTTAGGAAGGGAGGCACTATCACTCTTTATCAAGGTGCTCTTGGGCCTGATGGTTGTTTACTTGAATTGACGCTGGATCAGCATTGCGAAATATGTTGGCGAGACATATCTAAGGCTGTAAGGAAAGCTTGGCATTTGACTTGTGAAGATCAGCAGTCTGACCTCTTCCCACTCGAAGAGCATGCAGTTATAGGCAAGCTTAAGGAATTTCTCGCAAATGGCGAGCATAGTGATGTAAACATTTATGTTGAAGGACATGGTCTTGTTGCTCGATCACACAAACTGATTCTTAGCATGGGGAGCACTCCATTTGCAAAGATGTTTACATGTGGAATGGTTGAAGAAACATGCCAGAGGAAAATTTCAATGCATTTTGATTATTGCACCACTGCGAGTACCGACTTTGTCCAGTTAAATGAGCTTGTGATCAATGAGGGCAGTAATATCTGTGAGATAATGGGCAGCAAATCCAACGAAGTTGATGACAGTAATGGTGCCGAGAGCAATTATCACTTGGCTTGGAGGAAGCCTCTTCATGTGATAATTTTAAAGTCTGCATTCAAAGTCTTCGATCCCGGAATTTGTTTGCCACCCTACCTCCTTTCTAATAACGTGTCTCGACGGAGTCAAGCTTTTTGACACAAAGGGAGAATGATGTAGGAACATCTTAGCTTTTATTGTGCTTAGGGACTAGTTTACTTCCTTGCTCTAGATAGTTCTATCTTCCTCTTTAAATAGTAGCTAATGTAAGGTTTTGAATTATTGAATGATATTATCCCTTGTTAAGCTTTGGAAAGCTTCTTCTTCTTCTTCCCTGGATTGGGAAAACCTCAAATCCTTCTTGCAGGTCGCATCTTCCGACGATCCACTACATCACATTTGAGTACAACAAAAGAGTTGGTTCTATGCTTCTTGATCCACTAATTATTCTAGGAATTTGAGCCATTCGCCTTGAATCTAAGAATCCAAGTACCATAGAGAGGAAGAAAGAGAAAGATAGAGGTGTGAGGGATTGAGCTACTCTTGCTTACCCTAAACCTTATAATCAATGCATGCTGGCTCACCTTACTCAATGACCCTTTTTCTCTTTCATTATTTACTTCATTATACTATTCTTTCCTATTATCATCTTTAGCTATATATTTTTTCTTTTATAGTTTGAATTTGGAGTAATTTCATTAACTTAATTTGTTTCCAATATTTTAAAATTCAAGGTGTTGAATGTCAGTCAAGCGCATGAATCTTTATATTTAAAATATTGGAGCTCAATTAGGTTGATGAGATATTTGTTGTGAGATTATCGTAAGCATAGATTGGAGTGAAATGAGCAGAATTAAGAACAATGGAAAGAAAGTAGAGAGTATTACAGTAAATGAAGTAAGATAAAAGTTGTCTACTGACTAGAGTGAGCCTATGCGAGCCAATTATGTGGTTCTAGGTAAGGAAGAGTTCCACTTGAAATTCTCTCACTTCGTGATAATTGATTCTTGAGATTCAAATTGTGTAGCTCAAAGTTTTAGAATAACTAGCAAATCAATCAGCAATGAGCCATCACTTTTTTGGTGGGAAAAAGATTCCTATTTATTAGCACTAGTAGAAGCTGCCATGGCATGATCTTTTTGTTCCATTGGCCTCGTAACAACCAAGGTAGTCCCTTTACATTTTCCACATGATGCTTGATTGAGGTTGGTTGCAGTATAATCCCCTTTACATTGGATGTACGCCTGACTCACTTAGGATCCACATAAATTGGGTAGCATTAGGGAATATCCAGGGCAACAATCATATATTTATTGTCTTTGCTTTGTGGTACACCATTGCGGTCCTTTCCAATGACATGAACTTTTTCATTTCGATCTATGGCTGAAGGAGAAGTTTATTTGCATCAGCACTTCTATATTGTTCTTGTATTAGAAACTGGATCATCTAATCCTTGTCCTCTGTATGCTTTAAAAAAAGATTGCTTCAATAGCTTGGTAGAAATTTGCGTAGAGAAGTATTGCATTTGATATATTTGTAGGGTGTAGATCATGTTTCTTAACTACTGACATATATATATTTGTTTGCATGCAGTGGAGCAAAGAAAGCAGCCCAAACTTAGGGGTTTGCCCACTGCTGTAGTGCAGTATAATGATTGGAAAGGTGGAGCTTTGATTGCAGTAAGCTATGAAGCTCGAAAATTTGGGGTGAAACGGTGAGCTTGTTCTACTATGTGATTCTTGTGATTCAATTCTGGCATCTAACTTGTAGTATGCAAATTCAAGAACCTCAGTTCAATGCGAGGAGCTGAGGCTGAAATGGTTTGCCCAAATATACAGTTGGTTCAGGTTCCTGTTGCACGTGGTAAAGCTGATCTGAATGCATATAGGAGTGCTGGTTCTGAGGTATTGAATCCTTTGAGGTTTATTTCAAATGAGCTTATAAGTGGTGCATTAAAGGGAGAGTTTATTTCTCTATTTGCAAATTACTCCACCAATTTTGATGTAAAAATTTGCAGGTAGTCTCCATACTCTCAACAAAAGGAAGGTGCGAGCGTGCATCAATTGATGAAGTTTATCTTGACCTGACTGATGCTGCAGAATCAATGCTATTGGAAACTCCTCCTGCGGCACTAGAAGACATCGATGAAGAGGCTTTGAAATCACATGTTCTTGGTCTGAGTGGGGTAAGATGTATTCTAAATAGGATTTTGGAATATGGCCACTAATTAAAATCATCTTCTTAAAATCTAACAAGATGCTTTGGGAGAAGTGGAAGTTTCTGATTCTTGTTTTGTTTCAATTGTTCCTTCTTTCTTTGTGATAGCATATTTTTGCAGCTATTGTTTTACCTGCGATTGCTCCGCTTCTCCTTTTTTGCTGGAAGCTGATCATGATATTTTGACTCGTTCAGGATGAAGATCGAGAAAAGAATGTCCAAAGGTGGTTTATTCGAAGTGATGCCATCCATCAGGATAGATTATTAGCTTGTGGAGCCATTATAGTTGCACATTTGCGGGGTGAAGTTCTGAAGGAAACTGAGTTCACATGTTCTGCTGGGATTGCCCACAACAAGGTAGTTCATGGATACACTTAGTAGCTTATCAAGGACTCTAATGGGCTCTTGCCATGCATCTGAATTTTTTTTATTAGCTTAAGTCATAGTTTTAAAACCCAGTCAGTGGGCCTGGTTTTTCTGGATTTGACCTGCATCCGATGACAGATACTTGGGCCTACCGGTTTTTGAAACTGGATTGCCACTGCATGCGAAGGCCGGAACCTTTCCATTGATGATTAAATGACTACTGGAGTTGGGATGATAATTCCATGCCACACAAATTTGCAGCTTAACCATGGGGGAGCTAAATGAATTCAATTATATAATGTTATAAAATGTATTCAACATCTAGACAAGCCCTCTTGTAAATAGCCAACTTTTTATCTATAATTGAAAGTTGTAATTGAATAATTAACTAGTAATAAATCAAATGTATGTTTAGATCAAATGGAAGTGATGGAATATGCATTGAGGCTATATATGGCTATGTGGGATTCAAGATTTTGGCATACTAACCCATCGGTTCTAGAATCCGTACACATCTTAAACTTATTGATCATAATTTGAGATACGCAATCATTTATCATTTATTTACTTAGAACACTCTTTAGATTATTTTATTTATTATATATTTGTCTCTGAAGATTATCAAACAATTTTTTTGTTTATCCAATATTGATCTTGTTGACTGAACTATTTGCCCTGGTTTATGTCTTGGTTGGGATTTGCATGTGAGAGGTAGCAACACTTTGGTAACTGTTTGGTTATTTAGTTTGACTGGAATTTTCAGAATCGATTTTGGCAAATTGAGGCTCAAATTCAGTAACTGAAACTAACTCCAATGTTCTAATTGGACTGATCCAAATAATCAGATTGGGTTTGTTTGGATCAATTCCTTTGTTCTTGGCTTCAAATGATACACATAGTGTCAGTTTTTAAGAGACAATAAAAACAAACTGTAGTTTGTCGTCCTATCAATTCCAATTTATTTGCAAGTTTTTAACTTGAAAAATTGCTCTTGAAATATTATTTTACATGCTTTATCTCAGATGTTGGCAAAACTTGCTAGTGGAATGCATAAACCAGCACAGCAAACAATTGTGCCATCATCAGCAGTAAAAGACCTGCTTGCTTCTTTGCCAGTAAAGAAGATGTATTATTCTGTCTTTTTTCCGTTTTTTACAGTATTAATTGCAATTTGTCTCTGAGCCATTCCTCTGTTGCATTGTTGCAAATTTTTTTTTCTTGTCTGATAACTTTTATTTGTCGTGAGCAGTAATTCAAGTTTGTTTTTATGCATTTGGTTTAGTGCATTCTAAGAGTTACTATTTGCAGGAAACAGCTTGGGGGGAAACTTGGAAGCTCCTTACAAAATGATCTTGGGGTAAACAATGTTGGTGATTTACTGAAATTTTCTGAAGAGAAGCTTCAAGAACGATACGGCTTTAACACAGGGTGTGGCACCATTATCTAGACTAATCATAGAGTAGCTATATGTGGAGCATAATTCATTTGATTACTATTTTAAACTTTTATTTAGTGGTAAGTTAGGTTGATTTTGTAAATTGATTTATGCTACCCTACATAAGTTGTGTAGGGAAATACACTTAAACATAATGATTTTTCAAGGAAAATGATGGTTGCCACTTATACTTGCTAGTTCTAAATTTACTGTACTCCTGCGGCTGCCCATTTAGGTGTTCAAATTATTTAATTATTTTATTATTCAATTATAAACACATTCATAGTATTTGCGAAGATTATTTGCTTCTTCTATTGCACTTTCCTGTATAATTCAACGGTTTAATTACCTTACGAGAAAAGCATCAAAATGATCCATTGATTCTTTTCGAAAGAACAAAATAGTTCTCAATTATATTAAAATATCATTTTTCCTCAACTCCTTAAAAAAGGAATCAAAATAGTCTTACCATGAGACTATTTTGATTCCTTTTTAAAGACTTGAAGGTCTAAAATGGTTCTTTAATATAGTTGATAACCATTTTGATCATTCATAAAAAGTTAATGGACCATTTTGATTCTTTTCTCGTTACCTTAGTCTATGAGAAATCTGCAGTTTAATTCATTCATTACAACCAACCAGAGGAATTGCATGTGTGTGTGTAAGCGCATGGTGTCACGAAATGTTCAGTCCATAATAGAATAGCAGCAAAATTACAGTAATTACATGTAAAATTGTTTTTGTTGGATTGTCTCTCCAGTACCTGGTTATGGAATATTGCTCGAGGTATTAGTGGAGATGAAGTCAAGGGCCGTGTTCTTCCTAAGAGCCATGGCTGTGGAAAGACATTTCCTGGACCAAGAGCATTGAAAACTGCTGCTGCTGTAAGAAATCTTTCTCTCTCTCTACTCCAATGCTTCCCCTCCGCCTAACCCCAACAAACAACTCCGTTTTTCCTTGTAGGATACATTTTTTTGCAGTATATATAATATTGATAAATGTTATTGGAATTCTCTTTGAAAACTTTTCGGAAAAATTCGGTTAAATAATTTTCCATGACACAGTCGTAATGCAAATCCTAAGAACTCCGGTTTTACTGCCTTAACTTTCAATTCTTTGCTTATGAGTTTATATATTTTTTCAATAACAGTGTTCCTATTAATGGATTGCTTTGAAAAATGAAGCTTTTGATATGGGACATATAAATACTACCTAGTTATCGGAAGCTTGATTCTACCTTCATGGATGACTAATAGACTATGAGAAGCTTTGATTCCAAATTGGTGGTACACCTTAATGTTGTTGCATGTATGTGATGAAGCTCTGAATCGTGGCCGTCGATCTGCGATGCTTCCAGCGATACACCTGTTTGAACCTTGGATCGATGTCCTCATCAGTATGGATCTCATGGGCAGGAACTATTGAATAACTACTGTTGTATCCTCATTTAGGATTAAAAATGCCCACTTAACAAATGGATGTAACTTGTTTGGAATATTTGTGTCATTTCAATCTATACGATGGTGGTGAGACTAGCTATACTTTCTGACGTAGAATTTTGGCCACTAAAAAGAAGCATAAAATTAAGTGTTGCATGGATGAGGGTGCTCAGGTGGATGAGTGGCTTTGCACTTAGAGATAGAATGCAAAACGAGTATATACATGAAATGTTTGGATAGAAGGGGACAGCAGCTTGCCGAATTGTGGGAAAGAAAAACCTGGTGACGGCAGCTGCCAAGAATCATTCCTATTGTGGAGAAGCGCTGAACATGCTGGCAAGCCAAAATAGAGAGGCTAGGACTTTGAGGCAAACCTATCTTGGATCCTACTATGGCTTCTTGGCCTCACAATCCTTCAGGATAAGGGGGAAATCCACCCCAAAGTGAAGGGAACTCCTTCCCTGTTTCAAAAAACTTGGAATGAAACTTCTTAAAACTCCTATCTTCCAAAGGAACTTGAGGTATTTATAGAAAATCAAAGGGCACAATGAGGCAACAAATTACAACACTACCCCTATCTAAGGAAATACTAAAATCAGCAAAAAAAAGTAAAGTAAAAATAAAAAAGAAACTAAGGAATCTACTAAATAAAATGCTTGAAGGTAAAATAAATAAAATCTTATCATTAGCTAATGTAGTATGTCTTACAGTCTGGAATTTCTTTTAAAGATATAATATAAGGCGATGAAACAAGTACACAATTACACATAATTCTTAGTATGCTAACTATTATCTACAATAATTATCGATTGCATTATTGAAAAGTGAAAATTTGATGGAAATCTATTTAGATTAAATTATACGGCCTTTTACTAAAACTTAGCAATAAAATTAAAGATCAAGTAAGACACATATTTTGAAAATCATGTATTCGATAGATGCTCTCATATGTATCAAATCTGGCTAAACTTAGTGATTTCATCAAACCCATAATGGACATGTAGAAGAAGGAAAATAAGATATGAAAGAAATCACCATAAATACAAGCCATATGCGTGTTAAAGGAGAAAATCTCTTTTTTGAATTCTTCAAGTCTTATATTTGATGAAGGATTTGAACTCTCAAATGATAACTACATGTCCAACTAAAGATTTTATTTAACCATTAACAATACTGAGTTTTCTACATCCCTCAAGCTCCTATTTATACTTGCAAAACCAATTGAAAGATGCCTCTCATCGACTGTTGTTGAATCACAGAATTTCCGCCGATGTCAGGGAAGCTAAATATCACATGTAAAATAGAGGATTTCTTTAATAGAGGTGTTTAGAAATAATAATTGCAGATGTGGTTTGTGGAAGCAAGAAAAAAGGGATTTTAGAGATCGGACAACTTCCTAAAAAAATATAAAGTAACTAAATGCATATAGTTCTTAAGATGTTGTAGAATAGAGCAAGTCATACCTAGAGTTGGGAAATGCCAGTTGATGAAACTGCACTAAAAGAATAACAGGAGATGGAGGCATCTGCTTATGCTATAGATCTAATGAAGTCACAGAACAGGTCATAATAATAATTCTCGAAACTACCTCATCAATTATATCTGGTTTGAAAAAAATTGGCTATAAATTTTTTTGTTGATTTTGGTCGAGATATAAACATAATTATTGATTTTTTTTTTGTAAAGGCATCCATGAATCACCACATATAAATCTCTCTCTCCATCACATAAGATATCTCTGACTTCCCCCATCACTAGTGCAAACTATGTATTGGATGTGAATCAAAGGGAATAAGTGGAAAAAGATAAGAATTTTAGGGATTATAGGGATGAATCATGTTTAAAATTTAAAAAACGGCTAATTCTAGAATTTTTTTAGATTTTTAACATATGCAATTATTCCAATTTCCAATTCATTGTATAACTGTATGATAATTCCTTGTAAAGTGGTGGTCATCCAATGATCTAAAATAGTTAAACAGGATATCAAGGGATGTGGAGAGTAAGTGATAGGATGCTAGTGTTGTATTGGGAGTTGTGAGCGAACATGTGGTGGGTGGTGGCTAGGTTTTTTAAATATATTTGAAATTGGAACTTTCTTGTTGTAAAAAGACATGTTTTGTTGGAGGGGAAGGGGGAGGAACTCCTCCAAGTTTAAGGGTTGGGATTTTGGTAAACTAATGAATGTGTTTTTAGGGTATTTGGATTAGTAGTTAAATAGTTATAATTTTTTTTTTTTGAATGGTCACAATGGACAAACAACAAGAATTGTGTTTTTGTATTTGTTGTTTGGCTTGGAATTTTTGAGGGAAAGGAGAGTTTAAGACCATGGCATGTTGTGAGGGTTTGTAGAGGAGGTAGGAGAATGGGGAGAAAGGGAAAATAAACATGTTAAACATCGAAGGAAATAGTATCATACGGGCCTCTCATCAAAGAAGTAAGAATGGTGAAGTGCTACCATGCAACTCATCTTTGATGGAATTCAGCCACAAAACCTTATTCCCTTAAGCACACACACTGAAATCAGTAATGAGAGTCAAGCTGTGTCACTCATTTTACAATAATATTTTTATTAATGGTTTGATCATTTGTGGGTAGTTATTACTGACCCTTGAAAGGGTGCTTTGTTTGCAAAGCATTTTCACTTGTCTTGGTAATATGTGGAGGCTAACCAAAGTAATTTAAAAATCTACTATTGTCTTTGCAACCACCAAACTTCTCATAACTTCCTATTTGAAATTTAAATTTTGAATACTTAAAATTTGAAATTCAGAACTTCAAACTCAAATTATTACATGGTAACATTCCTATGACTATCCTAACTGTTAAATCACGTGGCCAAGGGGAGGCAACGTTAGCAATCCGTGAGCTACAATCTGAGGGCTACACTTGGAGATCTGTGGGCAGTAATCCGAGGGATGTAATTGGAAATCCGTAGGATATGACTATTATAATCAATTAAATTAAACGTCTTTCCTTTTTTTATTTATTCTCCTAAAATGTATATATATATATAATGATTTCAAGGAATAGAATAGAATTTGAATCTCTCTAAACAATTTCTTCACTAACTATCATAACTACTCTAAAAATCATAACTACCATAACTATCACTTGTGAAATTTAAATTTTAAATTTCAAAAATTAAAATTTAAGGAATTCAAATTTCAATATTCACAAGACAAATTATTACATCATGGCTTCAAGTGTTACCTTACTTTATTTAATTTTATTTCTCTTTTAGTTTCTTTCTGAAGAGTTTCTATAGAAAGTGTTTTAGGCTTAGGCAAATCATGATCTTATCTCTTTATTTTAATTTCACATATTTGGTGTTCAACTCTTTCCTAGAATTATAATTATCATATCCAACAACGAGCTTTCAACTAATATCGTCACTAAAATTATATAGGAATAATGAGGAAATACTTGAATATTTCTTTTTGCATCTACCATAAATAATTTCAAGGGGTGAAAATATGAAGAAAATTTTTATTTTAATAAGATGTCTTTATCATATGAACAACCTCCTTAAAAATGATAATCTAAATTATTTGAAGAGTGATCGGATTGAATTATGTATCTTTGAATTCAACCAAATAGATGAAATTTTCATTTTCAAAGTTTTCATGAAGGTAATAATCTTTAATAAATCTATTGACATGTTGATGTAATTTGACTTTCTCGATTATATTCTCTTTATAAATTTTTTAAATCAAGGAACTATGAACCAAAATGAAAATTGCTATCGCGTTGGTTATTCATCATAAAGATAATATTAAAAGTGAATTATTCAGGAGATACATTATCAATTCTTGTAATTAATTCAACAATATCAATAGAAATGATTTGTTCAATTTCACATTTAGATATTAATTCAATTTCTAATTAAAGGTTTAGTTTCAAATTCATTAATGATCTCAAACTCAATTTTAGGTTTACGTTCTTGAACATGTCTAATGTAGACTTTGGAGCATATTATAGTATGAATTTTATTGTACAATTACATATAGGGTCATTCTATAGTTTAAAATATTTTTATTCATCGAATTAATAGGTTAAAGAATATTATTATTTTTTAAGACCAATCATTACCACATAAAAAGTTTGTGCTACTGCACGTATAACAACTTTATGTGAGATATAAATGATTTTTCGTAGAATGATTAAGCACCATTGTAGTATTACTAATGTTAGAATAATTGTAGTATTTCTCAAACTCTAAAGATTTGTAATAAATTTCATTTAATGCCTAAGACCACTAATTGTAGATATGTAGTTAAAGTCATTCTTAATTTTTCTAAGACCACTAATGAAAAAGATAATAATCTCTAAACAAATAGTATTTGATTTCAAGCTGAGTAGGTTTGCCCCCTATTCGGGAATTCTTGATTAGGCTTATTTCAGTCGATTAGCAGAGATGGATGTTTTAAGAATAAGGGCTCAACCCACTTGATCAAGTTCTAGGTTCCATTTGGTTGCTACAATTGATTCTGTGTAGGGTGATAGACCACGTGTCTGTCATGCATAGTAGATTAGTGGACCTCGGAGCCAAGAAATTTATTCAGCCTACAAGTCTAGGACTACCACTGTCTCCGAGCTGAGTAGATCTACTAAAAGGTGCTCAATCAACCAACACAGGTAGCAGACAAACCATTTTTTTGCAGTTGGCCAACATTATAGAGAAATAAAGGGCATATACTAAGAAATATATTCAACAACAATAACAACAACAACAACATCAAGCCTTTATTGCACTACGTGAGTTCAGCTACTTGAATCATTTTTCTCAATTGTGTCTGGTTAAGAGTAAAATTCTCATTTAGATCTAATAAAGAAAGTTCATTTTTAATATTTTCTAATACAAGTCTTTTTAGGTCTACCTCTATCTTTCTTAACATTGGTTAAATCTGATACATCTACTCTCCTAACAGGGTCATCAGAAGACCTCCGTTTTATATAACCAAACCATCTAATTTAGGGAACGTGTCTTATTATGTGAAGAATCAGATTTATGGGAAATGTAGTCATGATTTAGGGAACCTGTCTCTTTTGTTTGTGCCAAAAACATTTGAGGGGTGATTATTATTTAAAAGAAGTACGTTGTTTTGAGATTAAAAATATGGGAAATGTTTGAATTTTGAACTATATAATGGTGTTAGCTAATTACCTTGTGACATTTTTAATAGATAAAATGCAAGTATGTTTTAGCATAAATAGTGAAATTTAGTGATGAATAACCATTTGTTTGGACTGGTGGATGAGATGCTATGGCTACAGTTATCTCGTGCTAGTGTAGATTCTTTATTATGTTTTTTTTCCACCATTGTTGATTTTCATCATTAAATCTGCGAGAATCAGATTTATGATAAATTTTCAATTCTCTTATGATCTTTTTTCATTTCCTTAAGGTTGAGAGTTGGCTTAATCAGTTATGTGAAGAACTGAGTGAACGCATCCAATTAGATATGGATCAGAATAAGAGAGTTGCACATACCCTAACCTTGCATGCAAGGGCATTTAAGGTACTTCTTACTATCAGCGTTTAAAAGACACAAATTAGTTTCATTTCTTCTTGCATTATTAAAATAATGGCTGCTATTTCTTTTTGTAAAAATATAGTGGGATAAACGGTTGATGTTGTTGTTGTAGTATTTGTTTTTATAAAAATATCATACAAACTCTTATTTATTATGTATTTTGCAGACAAGTGACGTGGAACCACACAAGAAATTTCCTTCGAAGTCATGCCCGCTGCGCTATGGCATAAATAAAATTCAAGAAGATGCGAAAAAACTTTTTGATACTGGACTTCGTGAATTTTTGGGCTCTCATAGCAATGCATGGAGAGTTACCTCTCTTGCCATATCTGCTGGTAAAATATTGGATACTCCTGTAAGTTTCAACAAATTTCTGTACTGTTTTCATGACTTGGAGCTGTTTTGTTGTGCAAGCGGTTTACCTAATATATTTGGTGTCCTATATTACGAGTAAACCTAGTACTAAACACTCTTTGCGCTGAAACAAATATGATTCGTTTTGAATTGAATAAATCAGTGCATTTTAATTGTTTCATTATTTTAATAATTCTCGTTGTGATGTGATTATGATGTATTAATGTTGGTTACACATGTTGGAACGTTTTAAGAACTAAATATCCATCATCATCGTCATTGGCCTTATCCCAACTATGTGAGGAATGATGTCTAAATCTCAGGAACTTCATTCTTGTGAATGGAGTTGTTATTTTTGTCTTTACTAGCTTCTGTTTTATTCCTGGTAATATTCCCTTCCATAGATTTTTATTTGCTCTGCGTTGTGTATGATTCTTTATTAGATTTAAATGAGAATTTAATTTTAACAGGGCACAATGGAAAAAAAGGATTCATGTAGCCGACCCCACAGGGATAAAGTCTTGATGTTGATGATGCTGTTGTTGTTGTTTGCGTTGTGTATGATTGGTTTATTGCTACCGTATTTGTTAAGAGGTGAAACCATTTAGATATACACCGAACCTAACTTATTCAATTATAATTCCCGATGAGCCTAGGCATTTAATATGGGCATTCAGGGAAAATCCAAACATTGCCTAGGAAATAAGCACAATGAACTTCCTAATATCTTCGGTCTGTGACTTGACTTTGGTTTTGTTTGGGACGACTTTTTTATTACTTCTTAAAATAACTTCTTAGTATAAAAATTAAAATTTTTGTACTAAAAAGTTGCTTTAAGAAGCAGTCAGAAAGTCGTCGTCAAACAAAGCCTTAGTTGCTGAGCCATAAAATTTAGCAAATTCTTGTTGACATTCATGTTTCTTCTGTGATACCTATGGGCTAGTTATCTCTAGATATTTTTCCTATCTAAGAGCTAGGATAGATACAGTGGAAAACTGGTAGTTTTGGTCATATGTTCATGATTAGTTAATCCAGCCCATAAAAAAGTAATCCTAGCCAGAAATCTCCACTTATATCCCCTTTAAAAGACCGTTTTCTTACCCTTCATTTGGTCACAGATCTCTATTATGTATTTATAAAATTATATTTGGTTTACCCACAAACTTTTAATATTCATTTATGCTGTTATACAGATTCCTCCTGGAATATTTTTCATCCTTATAGTGTATTTTAGTTTCATTATTTAATTTAATTGATTTTTACAGAGAACGTCTTCAATTTCGAGATTCTTTCAAGGCAAGAGTTTGTCCTCTGCTATATCAGATGCATCTAATGATGACATCCAAGATGATGCTCCCTCATTCTCCATAGGTGGCTTTTCTTTCACATTTATTTAACTTATATATTATGAGCATTACTAACTTTAATAAAGCGAACTCCAAATAGTTAATTGATAAGACCAATGATTCATGCTGATGATATTGTGGTGGTAGAGGTCATGGTGTTAACTTCCCCTTGATCCTCCCTCATATAGGATGTAAAGAGAACATTGTACCAGAATCTGATAAAGATGAAGAAGTGTTTGTTCATGGAAAATCTGTCAAAGAGGATGATGCGCCTTCTAAAGATAGAAAAATTGATGTTTTGTGCACGCAGAGTAGAAAGCAAAAAGATAAGGTTTGTCATTATTTCAAATTAAAGTGATGAAAAATTTTCTCCTTGAAAGAACTTTATAGGAAAGTTGAGGTGTTCTTGCAAATGACTGACTTTATGACAATGAATTCATACAGCTGATGCTTTATTCCTTGAACTTCTGTAGAACAATTTTATGCTGGGTACTGAGGTTAATGCTTCATTTGGGACGGTTTTCTTACTGCTTCTTAAAGCAGCTTTCTAGTACAAAAATTAATTTTTTTGTACAAAAAATTGTTTTAAGCAGTAAAAAAGCCGTCCCAAATGAAGCTTAAATTTGCAGAGACAGAAATCATTGTTGGGCATTGAGCTTTTTGCATTTGATGTCAATATTTGTCTAATGAATTCTCTCTATGAATGTACCATATGATTTCGTCGGTAAAGTTTCGTGGGGCGCCAAATATAAAACTTAGGCAGGCAACTTATTTCTTCAGTTCAGCAACTCTCTTTTGTATATTTACTTGGAAGTTTATCGTGGCTTGAGAGCATAATCCTTTATTTGATGGCTATTTGGTATATACTCAATGGCATCAATGGCTCATTTTGGCTGCGGTGGCAGGGAAATGGTTCCATTTTGAAATTCTTTTCCGGTACCAATACCTCCACAAAGCATGCATCAAATGGTATTATTCAAATATCTCATTCAAATTTCATTTCATTCTGTATTTACAGTTCATTATGATTGCCATTTTTTGAACAAAAATATATATTTTCATTGCAATGGAAACCGTAGCTCCTAGTTCCTGGAGCGAGAGTCTTAAAGGCCAGGATCAAAGAGACCACCAAGAAGAAAGCCTGGTTGATGGCCATAGCAGGCTTGGCAAGATTTCAAATCAACAGAGGGATAGTTCATGGAATTTCAATGCTGAGGATATTGATCCTTCTGTCATTGATGAACTGCCGGAGGAAATTCAACGAGAAGTCCGAGGCTGGATTTGCTCTTCCAAGCGAGCAAAAACTACTAAACGAGGGTCCAGTATTTTTCATTATTTTACTACAGATGATAACGCTTAGGAGCCACGTTCATCTCAGGTTTAAAGGTTAGTTTGTCAGGAATCCATCATTTAGGCTTCGTTTGGGATGACTTTCTTCTTGCTTCTTAAAGTGGCTTTTTAGTATAAAAATTAAAATATTTGTACCAAAAAGCCGCTTTAAAAAACAGTAAGAAAGCCATCCCAAACGAAGCCATTAGTATTCTACAGATTTCCATTTTGTGTGACTTATGAGGAAGTTCTGAAGTTAAAAGTGTTGCCAAATACCTGTAAGCTGTAAATAGAGTTCTAGTAGTAGCAGCATAACATAGAGTCATTGTTGCTGCTTTGCTACTACTAAAGTCGCAATTTGCGTTGTAATAAGCAGATTTCACCGTTTGTTATCTCCAGCATATTATCCAGTGATACTTTGAAGGAAATTAGGAATTATAATCATGATTTTTACTTTCGAACTTAAAGGTATTGTGTTTGGAAGTTTTATGAATTTTAGTTTGGTAATTAGGTCAAATGCTTATTCGATTCAAAGTAAGGCTTCATTTAGAATAAATTTTTTATTGCTTTTGAAGCAGTTTTTTAATAGAAAAATTTCAAATTCAAAATAATTTTATACTAAGAATCTGTTTCATCTAGTAGTAAGAAAAGTGTTCTAAATGAAGCTCAAGTCTTTTGTTTGGGAATTCTTTTTTATTATTTTTTAAAGCATTTTTTTAATATAAATTTTTTAATATTTTAATTAAAATTCTGCTTTAAAAAATAATAAAAAAGCCGTCTCAAATGAAGCCTAAATGACTTTCAGAATTTACAATCATAAAAGCTTGAAGAGTACTTTTATTTTTATTATTATCATGTATGGTATTACTGGGCTAATGGGTTATAATTATATGTTCAAATATAAATTTAAATTTTTTTTATTGTAAGTAGTGGCTTACGATAAAAATTTGTACGTCAGAAAATTAATTATTATTAGAAATTAGTCAATAACTATAGAAATTCAGCTTTAATTGCTGTCTATTGCTGTAAAGAAACAAGCCTTTAATGACAATAGGCAGCCCTCTGGCTTTTGCTTTAGCAGAAGCAATTAGGCCAATAATAAGCTAAAATTGCTATGCTGCATCGAATCCATCAGCAGGAAAGAGCATCATGCCAAATAGAAATGATAAAGCTGATGAAGCATTTTGTTGAACAATAAGATCATAGAAAATTTATTATTATCTTAATCATTATTTTAAATAGTGGCATCTGAGGCTTTAAATTAAATAATCGTTGACACTTTTGGAAATTTTTTTATTTTTTAAATGCATAAAACAAATGCAAGAAACAGCTAAAAAAAAAGAGATTTTGATTAAATAATGAGAGCAATTTTTTATTTATTTATTTTTTTTCTTTTTTCTACAATGAATATGTTCTCTCTTTGGTATTGATTTCTTTCTGCTTTTAAGAAAATTTTTACAACGCTAAGACGTAGAATTAAATCTCTATCGCCGCGTATTTTCTAGCCCGCAACATTACTAAAAAGTAGCTTTTGAAAGCAGTTAAAAAACTGTCACAAACGAAACCTTTGTCTGATTGAAGAAGCTTAATACAACACAGCTCTACAGTTTAAGGTGGGTTAGGTCCAATGATAGATGAGTACGAGTTATAGTAGGTGAATGGGTTATGATGGATTGAGTTGCTCTAATTCTTAGCCGGGTTTATATATGACACAACCCATTTGTATGGAACAATAAATGTTTTGGGATGTCTTATTTCTTTTTTTTATCAATTTAGGTAATTCTTTATTGAAATTTTCTTGGTGCATTTTTTATTTATCATATTAATTTATGCCTTCTTATGAAGATTCCATCTATTCAATTCTCCTTATCTGATTTTTTTTGTCTTTACAAAAAGGATTTACACAGAAAGGACTTAAAACTATTATATTTAGATATTTAACATCTAAGTTATATATGTGAATTTTTTTCTAAAAAATATTTTATAATTACATATAATATGATGATTTGAGTGCTCTTAAATCAAGGAAAATTCTCTTGCTATTATTATTATTATTATTTTAAATCTTGATTCTAAAGCATCATGAAATGTTCTTTTTAGCTATACATCATGAAAGGGTTTTTTCAAACCTAACACTTAAAAGTTAAAACTACTATGTGTACTCGTCTAACACCCAAACTTTGCTACATTATCATATTAATGGAGCATCGCCTAAAATTTACATGTCAATTATGAGTGATACAGATGTAATGGACAAACTTACATGTCCTTTGATGGCAATAGAGTGGAGGTGGTGATTTTAGTGAAAGATCATGAAGATGATATTGATCATGCAGATGACATTCAGTGTGAAGATATGCATGATTTATGTGCAAACAACATGGTGAACAATGACATTATAATAGATTGTTTGTGTGATGGTTCCTTTGCGGCTTAAGATGAAGAGAAAAAAATATTTTGTGTTGGTTCGCATTTTGAGGATTCATCAAATTTCGAACAAGCCATTCATTCCAAGACAAATGTTTAGATGAGAATAATGATCTTTTTAATATTGCATTCACCGTTGCAGAATCTAAATAAAAAGAAATTGGGAGTGATTTATGATGCATTTGTCCCATACTTTTAATATTGATATAGAACATTTAACATTCATAGGGGATATGAAGAAAGGGCTAGGTGAAGCTATTAAGAATGTCTTTTCTAATGTCGAGCACATAATTTGCATGAGACACCTTTGGATAAACATTAAGAAACTTTTTGTTTATGATGATATCCACAGTTTGAAGAAATTGGTGTGGACCGCCACAATATGCTAGAGCCTTCATGAGTTTAATTCTAAGATTGAACAAATATTTTGCATCAATCCACAAGTTCATTCATACCTAACTTCTTTGACATGTAAGTGGTCTAAAACAACTTTCTCAAAGCATATTAAAATCACTACAACACAAATAACATTACAAAATCCTTCAATTCTTGGGTAGAGGAGGCAAGGAGTAAGCCCGTGGTAGAACTGATCGACATGATAAGATGTATGTTGATGGAACAACATTCTCAGCGGAAGTTAAATTCTATTTCTTGGAAGGGACCTCTTGTTCCATGCGGAGGAGTACGTTAGAGATGTTACAACTAGAAAATAACATTTAAAAAAACTAGAAAATAACATTTCATTATATGACAGTCTACTTCAACAAAAGCTGAGGTTGAAGGGAGTTATGAGCGTCATGAGGTGAACATAGATAACCATATGTGTACCTGTGGGTTTGGCAGTTATCTGGACTACCCAATGTACATGTTGCAACATTTGTTGGAACAAAACATCACAATTTGTGACACACATATGTGGATAAACACTATTACAATTACAGCTTTGTTGTTTTACACGATTTAATGTTTTGTTAATGTCAGTTATCTAAACACTAATAATTTGTGCATGTACAGAATGACGTATGAAGGAGCTATTTCAACACTTACAGAGAAAAAATAGTGGTCCGTTGAAGAAAATACAAATAAAGAACTTCTTAGAAGGAACATAGAAAGAAAAAAGTAGCCATAAATGTAGCCGCTGAAATTCATGGGGTCACCATAGAAGCACATGCGAGAAACCTTTAAATTTTGACGATGAAAATGTTCATCCTGTAAGTTTATGAAAAAATACCCATTTGACGAGCAAATTGTCATTCTGATCCAACTTAAATGGGAGTCGGTGAAATATATGATTTTGCTAACTGTCACTATGACGAAATTGCTAACTGTCATTTTGTAATATAATTTATCTGCACATAAATCATTTTGTTATATTCGAAATTAGTTGTATAGAAATCTAGTGAAATATATTATTTTTTGCTGCTACAATTTATTCCTTAACTCAATCAATAGCATGATGGCAATTATTCAGGAAAATCTTCTCCAGGAAATATAAGATTTCTTCTTGAAATTAGTTGCAATACTCTTGTGGATAAAATTTTTAGAGCAAATGAGACTGAATCAAGCAGACAAAAAACCACAGAATTTGCAAACAGAGAAACCCATAGATGCTTCAGCTTCTAAATCGAACCTCTCCATCTTCCTTTCCTATATGAAATTACAGGAACATGTCCGGAAGCAGGTGCGGAACTGTGGAACCAATTTTTGTTTTCAGGAGGGGCAAATGACAAACTTATAAAAAAATAAAAATATATATAAGAGTGCAAAAATAATTTATTTTGCACATAATCGCTTTTCATAGACTTGTTTGTTAGTAGTAGAAAAGTTCAACATGATCGGAAGAAAATAGAAGGAGGCTAAGAAGTTTTTCGATTTTTGGAGGGGCAAATTGCATGAAAAAAAGTCAGTTGGGGCAAAAAATAAATTTCACTAGATTTCTATATGATCCGATTTTTCAAATGAGTCGAAATTTGAAATGCAAACCTAATCCATTTATTAAAAGGATCCACCCAAATTAAAAAATTTTGGATCACATTCGAGTTCGATCAATGGACAACCCATTGCATGGTCATGAACTGCATCCAGCCAGAAATGAAAAATCCCTTCAAAAACAAAAACATATTGTTTATTATATCGGTACCGATCGCAATTTCTTTAACGTCGGGTTGCGACAGACGCATGACTAATGTCCAAAAGATGCAGCTTCCCGTCCCCATCTTCCAACTTGACCTAGTCGGCCGGCACAGACCAATCATCAAGCTTCTTACTTTGCTCCAACTTTCAAAATTTATGGCTGATCTCCATTACCAAAATCCGAAAGGCCATTCCTTTCCCCCCAAAAATGTCTCCTCCGCTTCCCTTCGTGTTCCTCCTTCTCCTCGTCTTCCTCCTCCGCCTCCCCTTTTCAACCTCCTTCTCCTTCAACTTTTCCACCTTTAACTCCTCCACCCCTCAGTTTATCACATTCCAGAACGATTCCTTTTTCGACAAAGTCATCAAGCTCACTAAGAACGAGGTCGGCACTTCCTTATCCAGAAGCGTCGGCCGCGCTGTCTACCGCGAACCCCTCAAACTTTGGGATGCCGCGTCCGGTGATCTCGCTGACTTCACCACGCACTTCTCCTTCGCTATCAAAGCTTTCAGCGCTACTGGCTACGGAGACGGCCTCACCTTTTTTCTCTCCCCCTACCCTTCCACCGTCCCCCCCGACTCGATAGGCGGCAACCTCGGCCTCGTCAGTGAAAGCACGACGCCCAACGGTACAGTCAACTTCGTCGCTGTCGAGTTCGACACCTTCCCGAACCGCTGGGACCCAGTTAAGGACCACGTAGGCATTGATATTAACTCCGTTGAATCGGCGGTGACCGCCCCATGGAACAGCAGCTTCAAGGACGGCAGTATCGGGAACGCTTGGGTGAGCTACAACGCCTCCGAAAAGAACCTCAGCGTTTTCCTCACTTTTGAAAAAAATCCAACCTTCTCCGGCCAGTCAACCCTCTACCACATCATTGACTTGAGAGATGTCTTGCCGGAGACGGTGGCCTTCGGATTTTCAGCCGCCACCGGGGTTAATACGGAGACACACAACATACTTTCATGGGACTTCAGCTCTACTCTTAAATTCGTTGATATTGAAAGAGAGAGAAAGAGCAGTGCGCGTGTTGGACTTGGATTATCATTAAGCATAGGCTTGTTCTTGATCGCTGCAGGATTCATCTGGTTTCTTCTATGGAGGAGAAGAATAAAGCAAGAAACAAAAGAAGTGGACTTTGATGAAGAAGAAGGTGATATGACCATTGATGATGAGTTTGAGAAAGAAAGGGGACCAAAGAGATTCCTCTACAGTGAGCTTGCTGCTTCGACCAAGAACTTTGATGAGGAGATGAAGCTTGGAGAAGGGGGATTCGGTGGAGTGTACAAGGGAGTGCTTAAGGGATCCATTGGCGAGGTTGCGATCAAAAGGGTTTCGAGGGGATCCAAGCAGGGGAAGAAAGAGTATATTGCTGAAGTCAAGATTATAAGCCAGTTGAGGCATAGGAACTTGGTGCAGTTGGTTGGGTGGTGCCATGGGAGAGGAGAGCTCATCCTTGTTTATGAGTTCATGCCAAATGGAAGCCTGGATAATTACCTTTATGACATCAATAGATCTCTGGTTTGGCCTCTGAGGTAAATTTTTTTAATATGCGAAGAAGTTCATTATTTGGTCATAATCTTGATTAAATTGAAGAAGCTATTTTGTTGGCCATTAGAGAGGGAATTAAGAAAATTAATTACAGGTACAAAATCGGCCTTGGCCTAGCAAGTGCTCTGCTCTACCTCCACGAAGAATGGGAAGAATGCGTCGTCCACCGCGACATCAAACCCAGCAACGTTATGCTCGACGCCGCCTTCAACGCCAAACTCGGCGACTTTGGCCTCGCCCGACTCGTTGACCACGACCGTGGCATGCAAACCACCGTCCTCGCCGGCACCATGGGCTACCTCTCCCCCGAAAGCCTCACTTCCGGCCAAGCCAGCAAGGAATCCGACGTCTACGCCTTTGGCATGGTCCTTCTCGAACTCGCCTGCGGCCGCCGGCCTGTAGAGCCCAAAGAACGGCCCGATCGGGTCGGGCTAGTGGCTTGGGTTTGGGATCTTTATGGGAGCGGGCGGATGACGGAGGCGGCCGACGTGCGATTGGGGGTAGAGTTTGATGAGGAGGAGATGGGGAGGATGATGGCGGTGGGGCTATGGTGCGCGCATCCTGACAGTGGAATGAGGCCGACGGTGAGGCAGGCGCTGGCGGTGTTGAAGAAGGAGCTGGCGGTGCCGAAGTTGCCGGCGAGGATGCCGGTGCCGATGTACTGCCCGCCGCCGCCGCTGCAGATTATCGGCAGTTTTACTTGTACATCGTCGTTCGCGGGGTCCGGGTTTAGTGGGTTTTCTACCACTACCGGTTCCGGCGGCGTCGGGTTAGGGGGAAGGCAGGCGGAGGAACCGCAGGCGCGATGATGGCGACGATTTGTTGTAAAATGTAAAGAAAAAAAAAAAAGAAAAAAAGATTTTGGGTTAGGATTCCCTGACCCGATTTTGTTCAGGACCCGAAGAGCTCTTAAATTTATGTTAAAATTAATATAATTTAAAATATTAATTTTAATATAAATTTAAGAGCAATTTAATTTTTAATATATTGTTATATGTTTATTTTTCTAAAGTTAAAAATGAGATTTTGTGGGTAAATTTTGAATTGGAGTTTTTTAAGCAAATTTGTGGCATAATGTAAGAAAACATTGGCTAATGATATTTTGTGGTAAATTTATAAGTAATTTTTGATATTGCCTCAAATTTATTTTAGGTACCAAAAGTAACTAAGATTTCTAAATAATAAGGAAATTTGTTATTAGTCACACAAAAAAAGGCTTATAATTTTGTTGCTAAAAGGGTATAGATTTTTTTCATAGGTTCGACATCTATTTGTTCATATTCTTGATCGTTGTACGCTTCTCAGATATGTCGGGGGTCCAAGGGGGCAGAGCCCTTTGGTAGGGTTCGACTTGGCCGGGGGCAGAGCCCTTTGGCAGGGTTCGACTTGGCCGGGGGCAATTGCCTAAAGAACAAATTTTGTCTGTAAGAATATTTTTGGATTTCAAATTAATAAATAAAATGATTAATTCTCTTTACTATTTGTTAGGGGTAATTGCTTAAAGACTATAGTATTTTAAAATTTTTAGGAGAGGCAATTGCCTAAAATTTCTTATAATAAAGACTAAAAAAGATGGAAAGGGACAAATTATCAAAAAAATCATACAACAATTTTATTTTTTATGGGGGGCAATTGCCCCCTTGAGCTAAAGGGGCTGAGCAATTGATCATATCTTTCTAAATATGTGCTAAATGATTAGAAAGGAATGATATTTTATCAAAATTTAAATTTACTTAATTTTTAATGAGGATAAATTTTAAGATACTAAATTTATTTGAAGATGACCTTATTAGAAATTTTATTGATTAATTATATTGCACCCATTTTAAAGTTTTTATAATGCTTTAAATTTTATTTTCAATTATAGGATATTCTAACTTTTTTTTTTCTATTTTAGAAAATACAAAAAAATTGTATAATAATAATAATATTATGTATTGTAAATTGTAAAATGATATTGGAATTTACTTGTTTATGTTATAGGATCAAATATTATTTTCATAATGTCTTATATTTGGATGAATGAGTTGGAATTTTTTTTTTTCTTTGATTTAATTAATTACAAAATCTCAGGAGATTTCTATTTTTTTCTTTGATTTAATTAATTACAAAATTACAGGAGATTCTAATCAATTTTTTATGATTATATTTAAAATTATTGAATTAGAAAGTAAGCCAAAACTCGGTCTATCAGGTCTACTAATTAATATAGTTTTCTTAGAGATTTTTTTTTTTCAAAATTTTCTAGTTGATAAAAAGATGGAAGCATCTGTACCAATAAAAGAGAAATTGTGTTAAAATAATATTTTAAATTATCTAATTTACTTTAAAATAAGTGCAATATGATCAAACAAATTAATCTTATATTTTACTTATTTCAAATTTACTTCAATCATTTTAAATTTCATTATCATAAAATTTCCAATTAAATTTTTTTATTATATCCGTGAAACCATTAAAAAAATAAAATTAGATTCATAAATATCGAAACATCTTTCGATGTAATAGTTAGAATTTCATTAGAAATTTTAAAGTTAATAGTGCTCTTATCGGAGAGAAATTATTCTATGCGGAGACCAGACGTATAACTCCGTCCGGAGACCAACCAGAATGCAACATGTCAGTAGTACCGAGCTGCAGTACCTACTGCACTGGTGACATGACACATTTTGATTGGTCTTTGGACGGCGCTCGGCGTCCGATAAGGAACACTCTTATGATAGATGACCTTGTGATCGTGACTGATATTGAATGAATTGAGGGGTTGAAGTTGAAGGAGGGAGGAAGCTGAAGGGAAGAAGGAAGTAGTTACCTATGAAATTTGAACATTCGTCATAGCTCTGTTGCTAGCTTGATGAAAAAGAATTTGGATTAATTCCTTCTCTGCCAACCTCATAGATTATCATAAAATAATATTTTATGAATTAGAAAGGAATGAAGAGAACAGACTTAATAACCTTTTGTCTGTAAAGACAGTAAAGCACCAAATTCCATTTTTTATTCAAAATTCTGTATGTATATATAGAAGTATCAGAACTTAGACAATCCAAAGGGAATGAGGAGCAAAAGCTCACAATTTGGTACTCTACATGTTATAATATTAGTACAGGACAAGATATGCAGAGATCCACTTGCAAAACTTATTAACAAATGTAATGTGATTGAGCAAAAAAATGGAACTGTGATGTTATTTTTTCAGGCCCTCACTATCTCCATAATCTGACTTTCAAAATTTCAGTAGATCAAGAAATGGCACCCATCATAACCTGCAATAAAATTTTAATTAATCAGAAATTTATAAAAATTAAAAAAAAAAATGTAAGTTTGGCAAAGCTTGATATTGTATAACAAGTCGTGTTTTACTTATTTATGTGCAGCATGTTTGTTATACAATTGAGATTTCATTTGGAATAATTTTCTTATTATTTTATTTGCTTATATGAGTAAAGCTTACTTGGGTCTCTAGTGATGAGCATTGCGGTTCCACCGAAGTCACAGGATCCTCCAGCCACCTTAGTCCTCTGCCAGTAACTATTGAAGGCAAAGGATGCATGTGAAATCAATGTGTCGGGTTGATAGCATGAGCCATTGGGTTGGATTGAATCACAGTCCGCACCAGATCCACAGGCGTAGTTCATTGCTTCTTGTATTATCGGGTCAGGCACGGTCGGCTTAGCCACACACCATAATCCTGGAGTGGTCATGGCATGTGGTGGTGGCGGTACATTTGGCGGTGGAAAGATGATCGGAGGCAAGAAAATTGGCGGTCCCGGTACAAATTCTGGTGGGCTAGGGACTAGTCCTGTAGGAGGACTCGGCCCGAGGCCTGGTGGGATAGGGACCAATCCTGAAGGAGGACTTGGCTCAAAGCCTGGTGGACTAGGCTCGAATGCTGGTGGGTTGAGCCCGAATCCCGGAGGGGTGGGCACAAATCCAGACGGGCTGGGTAAGACAATGGGTGTTCCTGGTTCAAACCCAGGGGTGCCGGGATATATTTCAGGCGGGCTTGGGTTGTACCCTGTCGGGCTTGGTATGATAAACGGTGGATTGGGAGGTGGGCTTTGTGTGGGAAGAGTGGGGGTGGGGAATATACTAGAGGGGGGCATGGGAGTGAGTGGGAATGGTGGTGGTAAGACACAAAAGGGTGGGAACTCCTGAGGAGAGGAGGAAGGGCCCATCACATACTCAGGAGGAAATGGTAAAGGGGAGGATTCAATATAGTATGAATCCAATTGCCTCACTACTTTGAGCTCTTGAGCTCTTGAATTTTTCAGGTTTGCAGTGTTTCTTCCCTCTGCAGCAAGTAAATTAAAAAAATTAAAACATATGTAATAATATTATGCTTCTGCAGTCAATTAGAAAGAAAATGAAAGTATTTTCTTACCACAGAGATAGGGGAATTTTGTTGTAGTATAGAGGAAGAGCAGAAGGGAGACAAATATCAAGCAATCTATTCTTTTCTCCATCAGGTGCTGAAACTGAAGCTTCTCTTCCTGAAGATGCCAAGCTTCAAAGAACTAATATTGAGAGTTGGGATAGTTATAGAAGCTTGTGAGCAAGGCAATAAAGTAAGAACTGTTGTGAACTTCAGTGAGAACTTCTTCTTTTTTCTTTTTTTACTTCTTTTGCATTGTTTATGAGGAGAATTGAAGAGATTAAGGAAAAAAGTATTGAAATGATTTTGGTGATTAAGTAAATGGAATGGGTTTAGTGGTTTGTATTCTCTTTTGGGAGGATTAGTTTAGGTATATGTGCTTGCGTGGAGAAACAGGAATTAAAAGAAGGGGGTTGGTCTGTCCTTCTGGTTTTGCTTGTGCTGCACTCAAGGGAAGGAAATATAAATGAAAGTGTAGAACTATTTGGTCTTAGTTGATTGTAACCTAAATTTTTGGCTCGTGAGTTTGCTCGATCACCTAACTAGTTAAGTTTCAGCCAGTTTTGACTCGACTTGTTTGCTCGTGAGTCAACTTGTTTAAGCAATATTAATATAAAATATATTTAAAATATATTAGGATTCAGGTGAAGTTGCTTAAAATTTAAATTTCACTTTTTTATACAATGTAATTTTTTATTAATTTTCTTATAATTTATCATGTTTTATCATTTTATTATAATAATTATTTAAATCATAATCATTTTTTTCTCTTTCATAATAAATAAACAGGCTCGTGAGCCTGCTATAACTCCTAGATTAAAGCTCGAACTTGATTAATAATATAATTTTTTGAAATGAAAATTTTTGTAGAACATCTAATACAATGGATTAGACTAGTTAAATATAGAGGAAACTTTGAACTAATCAATTGTTAAAATCCCAATCAAGTACAATAATATATTAAGGCATACAACAGATTCATATTTTACTATTTTATCCACAACACTAAATTTATATTTAATTTTATGATGCATGAAAATATTAGAAAAAATAAATTTATGTGAGATATGAACACTGAGTTTAATTGATGCATCTTTGATTCATAAACCAAAGAGTGGAGATCTACAAAAAAATGTTTTCGAAATAATTTTTTATTTTATCTGGTTTCTCATTTTGCTACCACCTTAAAAATAATAAAAAAGAGCATTAATTAAAACTAAGACAATATTGTAAAAGAGATATATATCTCTTAAGCATCGTCTGAGAGAGCTTTTTTTTTTTTTTTTTTTACTAAGACAATATTGTAAAAGAGATATATATCTCTTAAGCATCGTCTGAGAGAGCTTTTTTTTTTTTTTTTTTTTTTATCATCTGAGAGAGCTTTCTTACTGCTTTATAAAACAGTTTTTTAGTATAATTTTTTTTGAACTATGAATTTTTTTAACTAAAAAAATTGTCTTAAAAAATAATAAGAAAACTGTTTAAAATAATAGTTGGAAATTTCCGTTATGTTTAGAAGTCAAAATACTTTTTTAATTACTTTTCTAAATAAATCTCTCTTATTTTTTTTTACTTCATCTTACAATTAGCTTTATTAATGCTATGGGAAATTCTAAGGAA